GTTGCTTTAGAAAGACTACCATAGTAGTACTGTGCCAGGTCCACCTTCTTCATCAATACTAGTGGTAAAGCAGTCAGACATAGCAACTTTTATTTCAACTCACTAGAAAATGCACCATCAGTAGTGTCTCTAAATCACAAGGATCTGTTTCAGTCATATCATAAATTGCATGTCAACCTTTAGAAACATCTGCACAGGTCACAGCTTAAAGTACCAGGTGCAGATACAAATATATTTCAAAGTCATATTACACATCTTTACCTTGATCTTGCTCACAAAGAGACCAGGTGAACCCATCATTCACCTCAAGTAGCTTACCAAGAAGCTAACTGAGAAGAAAATACTTCATATGCATTTGGTTTTTAAATGGGGTTAGTTAGTAAAGTATTGGCAGAGCTGTATAACTGCTTTTTCTGCCTAAGGGCAAAAAAACGGAATATGAAATAATGGATGCAGAAAATAAGTTTTAACTTTATAAGAATGGAAATCAACTTCCTGAAGATCAAAATATGTGCTTGGAACATTGCTCTGTGATGCAAGTGTAAGAAGAAAAATATAGTGTATTAGAAAGAAATACCACTACTGTGATCAACAAGTGTTTTCAGATGAAGTGGAAATAGCAATTATTTTAATAGAATGAAAAAATGCAAACCAGCTTTCCCATCTCTGAACAAATAGCACAACTACAAAGTGTTAACCCTTAATAGTCTGTGAAATTAACAGTTGCATGCATTGACTCCACAGGGAAGGCCAGTGCCACTTGCACTGGCAGAAGCAGAGAGGAACAATTTTAGACAAGTTTCAATCCCTTTCACTCAAGATGCTTGGCACCACAGATCTTCCTTGGATCAAAATAGATAGCATTTCCTCCTTAGGACAATCAAATCAAAACGATTTAGGACTGAACCCTACAATCCTAATGGACAAATGCAGATGGCTCAAAGCATCCTGGGTTACCCTGGTGCCCCACCAAGTCTACCTGTTACCCTGCATGCTCACAGATCTATCCTTCCTCCAAGGCACCTCTAGCTGTTCTGAATGCAATGGAAACCATTGACATGGACATGCAGACAGGAATTGATGCAAGAGCCTGGTACATCCTCTTGCTCCCTCACTGGGAGGAAATAATCTAAAACATCTTCAGAAGAGAAGAGAAACATACAGGAGGTGGGTGTGTGCTGATATGGATAGGGAGGTAGAGCAAAACACATCACGATCTTCAAATGCCCACCTGGTAAGAAAACCAGTGTGGGAGAAGAAAGAAAGTCCTCTAAACATCAAATGTTGAACAAAGCCTTTGAAGATGAGCCCATTCTGAATTACAAGGAGCACCGTAAGAAACATGAAAACCGCTTTATTTATGCAGTGCTCTTTTCTACACCACTAAGATGTAAGACAGCACTCAGAGCTATCAACTTCCTTTTGTTCATGTGTTTGTTGGATGGATATTCACAGGAATGGCAGCTTTTATTTCAGTAGTATAGATAAAAGTATTGCACTGAAATTTAAATGTCAAAGAATACATACTCAAATGTCAAATACCAACAGACAAATGCCAAAAGAGAAATGTCAGAAATACACCCATGTGTCCCACTGAATAGAACTACATCTGCACAGATGCAAGGCATAGCATGATGTGCAAAAGCGAGAGTTTTCTTCAGTTCCTTTGGGGTTGTAATATCACTGGTGTCAATGAAATCACTACCTGGCAGCAATCTGAGTGTATTACTCCAAGTACCTGGTTCTGGAAAAAAGTTCAGGTTAACTGATCTGTTATGTGGATAACATTTACAGTCATGAGGGTCCAAAATTGCTGTTTCAAGCAAATCCCACTCCAGAATTTGCTAACTTGTCACTAGGTGATGGAGCCCAGCACAGTGACCGTCCACAGGGATTATCCCACTCCTTTTCAGGTATGACAGTAGCCCATTAGAGGTGAAAGACGATATGTGAACATAGTTTTCCCTAGACACATTACCTAATTTGACCAAATAAACTAAACATAAACATGAATTCTTGGTGTATCCTAAATTATTTGCTTTTTTTTGAGTCCTAGGAATAATCAACGATGAATATAAGTGAGCTTTGCAGAAGTATAAATGACTCCAGAATCCAAGCAGAACAGATTTCAAGCAGAATTTGGACTCTTGAGAAATTCAAATGTGTTTTTAAATCTTACTTGCTTTATTAAAATCAATTGACTGTTCCTCAGGAAAACAAAAGAGCAATTCTTTACACAATTCACTTGATGGGAATGTCTGGTCTCAGTGACTTCAATGGGCCTTTTGTAATGATTTTATCCTTCATTATCTCCTATAAAAGTACTTGAAAATATGTTGATTAGGGAAGATGCATTAGCTTAGAAATTTCAGTCAGTCTGCTAATTGCAGCTGCTTCTACTAGAGTTGAGAAATAAAAATCTTAGGTAGTTCTGCAGTCAGATCACTAAATATGTGAAAATCTGAAGTGTACTTTAATTAGTGTAGTTAACATAAATATATCTGACTCCTGTAATTAATGTGATTTGCTTCCAGCAGCAGTAGCTCATACACTGTAAATCCTAATCCAAGATAAAAGATCTAAATTTTTGTCAAATAACAAAACCCCCTAAAAATTTTCTTCTCTGTCTCTAAAGTGATTGTTTTAAGAAACCTACCTTGTTTTTTTTAACTGTGATATTGACTAGAAATACCGTATAAATTTTAAATTGTTTTCTTATTCAATTTTTTGCAAAAATTTGAAATAATGATTGGATTTTTTTTAAAGAAACTTCTGAGAACAACTATAACATTCTCACAATATATGCAGAAATTTCTTTCTAAGGAATTTTTTTTCTGTACACCTCTTTTTAAAGGTTTCTCTGGATTATTAAGTGCTGCTTAGGAAAAAAAAATTGAAACTTTTGATCTGTTCTCCTCTGGACCCATTCTTTTTAAACAGCTGCAGTGCATAACAAAACTCTACAGAGAAGCATTTACTATCTTTTTCAAGAGGAAAATTTTCTTGTAATATCTATATTTAATTTTAAATGCTCATCTTGGCAAATGCAAAAAACATTTTGTTTTTTGTTAAAAAGATTAAAAGATACCCAAAAAAAGTATCTTTTGTTTTAAGATACTTTTAGTATCTTAATTTGAAACTTTGCTTTTCTCCTCAACAGGATTGTATGATGCTAAGTTTCATCATCTAATTATAGTCAGAGCAAAGCTCTGTTCTCTTTCACCAACTTCACATCCATTTCCCTCCAAAGACACTGACTTTCTCTTTGTTCTTGAACTATCATAGAGAGTAAACAAGGAAGGTTCAAAAAGCCTGTTTCTATTACCCCACTGTTTTATGCAAGTTAGCTGTGCCCACAGTCATTAGTATCTGTTTGAAAATCAAATTCTTCTACAGCCTAAATTACTAGAACGATTCTAAAATACACCATCAAAAAAGAGTTAGAACAGCCAGGAAAATTTTGTACTTCTAACTTTCCAAGATCTTTCAGTGAGTCTCTCTTTCCTTTCTATCTTTTTGGGAATGAAAGAACACAACTCAGTGCTTCACTCAGACATTCACCTAGACAGGCCGGAAGTCAAAAAAACCCCAGTCAAAGTCAACCAAAAAAATTAAATGAAGAGACACAGATTTGTCTTAGGAAGGCAGCTCTAAAGAATAAATAGCTCCTCAGTGCATAGCATGGAAAATAAATCAAAATATGTTGAAACAGACAGAATTCAAGGGAATAAGGACTTATCCAACATTCTGGTTTCCAAAGACTCTCTGTAAGTACCTCCATCATCTCTGTAAGGTACCTCCGAATATCAACCAGATCCAGCTCTTTCTTAAGCATCTGTCAGGACCTCTGCTCAAGGTGACATAACTATAGGCCCATGTGTACATTAGGGTATTGACAAGAGACAAAAGAACACAAACAGAATAACAATTCTGATGAATAGTGGAGGAGAAAGTTCAGTTTTTAGACACTTTAGACTTCTTAGTTATCTCTTCCTTCTTTCAGAGTACTTATCTGGTGCTCCAGAAGGTATGCAGACAAATGATGCACTTCATCATGAAGTGACACTGACACATGGACCCAGTTTACATATATTAAGAAAACACATTTCCTTTCAATCACTTCATGTTCCTTCCTCCTATACAAAACCCAGTATTATGTGATATATTTCATGAAGAGGTCTTGGTGTTTTTCAGGAAGTCTTTCTTTGAAGGAGAGTTGCTCCTGGAAAAGCCTATTTACATTTTGTTTACCTGTGAAGTGCCATATGATTTTTGCCATACTAGATGAGCCGTTGCTCAAAGTTAAGGATATTCATTGCAAATAGAGACATGTTTCCACCATTTGTTACACAGAACTTAAATTTAGTTTTAAACTGGCAAAACTCAAACACGAAGAAAGAGTAATTCTGCTGGACATATATGCCATTTTCTGTAGCAACACAAGTCCAAGTCTTTGGACTGTATCTGGCAGCTGCATGCATAGCATTAATTTATTCTGTAAAAGTTTACTCCTATTAAAACACCATGTATTTATTTCATGAAGAGGCTATAGAAATTTTATCTTTTCTACAAGAGAATTTCTCTTTCTATAGCTATGAATTTTAATAATATAGCAGGTGGAGCATCCCACTTTGACCAAGTATCAGGGACCAATCTGGATGCTCTAAACACAATTCACTGTAAGATTTGCTATTTTGTACAGGGATTGTAAAGGTTAAAATCAACAGCTTTCACTGGTCTTTTGGGAGAGTCCATCAGCAGCTTAACACATTCTGCATTACCAATCTGCATTACAAATGGTATCTTGGTTAACACAACCTGCTTCAAGACCTACTTGAAATAATGAAATAGATCCCAAAGTTCAAAGCTTTTCTCCTATGTCTTACTCCTTTAATGACACAGAATACCATGTTATCTGCCATAGAATGTTTTTCTATTAACATGGAACACAAGAAAAGTTTTGGAAAAAATCAGTAATGTTTGAATATATGTAGCCTTACCTTACGAATGCCTCTGCCAAGATCTTCTCCATAGTTTGTCCCCAAAATTTCAAAATGCACATTGGGATTGCCCCCATTTTCTGCAAATTCCAGTTCTCCAGTCAAGCCATTCACTCCACCCTATTGGAAAAAAAAAAGGAAAATGGACTGAAAATTTCTAAGTGGCTAATTGTAACAGACTTTTGTTTCTCAAAGGCCTTTATGTGCTAACTATGCAGAATATATAGGTAACTACCAGAAGTAGGATAGTTTTCCAAAGACCATGGTTCACTAAAAATTCTGAAGCTTAAATTATTCCTGCATCATAATGAAGTTCTTCACAAAAGAATTAAACTCAGCAATGCTAAGCAGACGCAATGCAAGCAATAGTCTTACTCTTAGCATATTTGCACTCCAGTTTTTGTTCTTGGACCCATCAGCATGTATGCATTGACACTTTAACGCCAACAAATTCAGAAAAAAAAAGTAGTTTTTTTGCAAAGTAGTTTAGTGAAAGCAAAACTAAACACAAATACATAGAAGAAATTGCACAAAAATTAGTTATGTTTGTTGATCTTTTTCGCCTCAAATGTTTCTTCCCCATGAAAGATTTCCACATGAGGGCTGGCTGAGGTTTAGATGAAGTTGCTTGCTTTTTGAGCTCAACATATATGATCTGCACAAATGAAGAAGGGATTCATTCAAGGTCTGGCTGAATGCAGTGATTTTTGTTTTTCCTCCCAATTATCCTTTACTAAGAGTACATGACATGGGCAACAACGCAGCATCTCTTTAAGCTTGTTTTAAGGTTTTTACAGTTTTGCTGCAAGGGGTTAAAATACTAGAGATGAAACACTGGAGTGAATAATCTCCACAAAGAATTAGAGTTGAAAGGGCTACACATGCCACAGCCATACAAAATCTATTTCAGAGTTAATTCAACATGACACACATTTCATCTTTGTATAAGAACTATGATGACCTGAACTATAAAATCAACAGAGCCGTGTGAAATGCTGATAATGAAAACCTTTACCCTTCAAAAATTTCTTCAGTTTACGGATTGAAGGAAAATTTGATGTTTAGGCCTCTCCCTCAAAAAAAAAACAACAAACCCACAACAAACCTGTAAAAAATATTTTAAGAATGCACAAAAAAAAAAAAACCTGCTGCTGGTGTAAAACCCTATGAAATGCACAGTTTTTCCCCAGAACATAAGGCAATAACTTTGCAGTTGTGATTGCTGTTTTACTCAGGAACTTTTCTATTTAAACTGGAAAAACTTGCAATATAAACTACCTAGCTAAGCACATGAGCCTTGCTGAATCATGATATTAAAGCTCTATTCTTACATCTTCAGTCTGGACAAAATCCAGGAAGGAATACAAAATTTGCATCTCCATTGCAGATTCCTGTGAAATAACAGAATGTTCTCCTACTTTAATAAAGCACTACTGTGATTATAACAGAAGTAATGAAATTATTCATTGAGATGATACTTTTAGAATTTACTAGACTACTAGTAACTAGTACTATCAGGGAATAATACATAAATAACAATATATTAAAATAATATTATAAATATTACAATAACACAATTATTTTATGAGTGCCATTTACAGTTAAAACTAATAAATACTTTGTGTAGTGTATATACATATTTCATCATTTTTATCTTGACTACTATCCTGCAATAACCAGACCTTTGTGGCTCTTATATTGGGGTTTGCACACCTCTGGCTAGTTCAGAGTAAAGACAGTGAACTTATGTTTACCCACAAAATCACTTGAAGATATCCTTTGGTAAATAACCAAGTTACACAAATATAAACCTTTTTCTCTAACTTAAATTTGACTTCATCCTACTCATGGACCAGAAGCAGAAACCTGCTCCATATGCCTATTCTCTCAAACGTTCTTATCTATTTTTTTGAATACCTAAGGCACAGTTTCACACAACACAAGATGGAGAAATGCCTGTGAAGTGGCAGAGAACTGTAAGAATTGGGATACCCAGCTGATTGCTCAAAGCCTCCATCTGAACACCTTACCAGACACTGATTTGGTTATATCATACTTGTTATTTCCTATATTGCTTCCTAAAACTTTCCCCCACACTGGGTAATAAACCTGTGGGTCTGAGGTAGGTAAAGTCTGAAAATTAATTAAACTTGCTATAGCTTGACCTGAGTAGCACCATGGTTTCAAGTGAGCCATAAGCAGGACCTAGAAAAAGGAAGGGAAAACTCCAGAGCAAAGTGGGGAAAGAAAGGAAATATTCAACAAAAGACCATTAGGATCTCTTCACACAGATGCTTTGTACAGCAGAAAATAGAAATGAAGAATACAGGATTTTCAATATAGAAAATTTAAGTGACTTTCTTTTCCAGACTGAGACCAGTCCCAATACTTTAAGGAACCTGAAGATAAAATGTAAATTTTTTTTTTTTTAGACTTTAGATAGTAATATAAAATGTTAGCAAACTTTCTTTTAAAATTATTTTTATAACCTTTGTCCTTATTTGAGTAAATACTATTAAAAATAATTAAAATAATCATTTAACCTCAAATATACTTGAAGTAATCGACCAATTTCTTTAGAAAACACAAAATTCTTTGGAAATATATGTCCCCTTACATACAGTACAGGTTAACAGAATTATCTAAGATGTCTTGGAATTTGATCTTTATCCAGAAATCTTCTCTAAGTTTGTTTAACTTGATTTTTCAGCGGCTGCAATTGTCAGAGCAAGATACAAACTCTAAGTCCATCAGCTTTATTTGTTTGGAATCTAATCTTTGCTACAGTGGATAAATTAGAAATAACGTTGCTGTGGTCATCTACCATTCTTTGAAAACTTTACATTAAAGAATGTCTCAATCAGAGCTTCCTCTTCTAGACTGTGTAGATATGAAAACAGGAGCTCCCATTAGAATGGGGATGCTGCCAGCTTGGGAAAGCAAGAGGAAGAAAGACAAAACAGCAAAGAACCACCCATATAATAGCAGCACTACTAGATTTATAGAAAATTTCTTGGAGGTCTTGGTTTCTCCTCCCTGTCTGGGACTGATCTTGTTGGACCTGCAGGCCGTGCAATCCTGTTATTGCTCTCTACTGCTCCTCATTGTCCCACACAGCCTTTCCACAAGGCTCACACAACTCTGGGTGTTGCTTAAGGCTGACGGAGGGAGCAGGATATCACCTAGGAAGACTTTCAATATGCTGCTCCAATTTTTGTGAGTAGCTTTTCACAGTATGGATCTGTCTGAAACACTTGATTTACAGCTTGTGTTTTATCCCTGTGCTAGTACATAGTGGAAGGGGATCGCAGAGGAAATGACCATCTGTATGACAGCTACTGATGCAGCAACTCCCTGATGAGATTTTTCCCAAATCATTTTAGTGGTAATCATGATAACCATGATTACCACTAAAGAAGAGTAAAAGAAATTTTTCATTCCATTTAACTCACAGAAACAATGCTATTTGGGGAAGAATGAAGACATATTTGTTATCTACCTTCTCAAATTCTTCTGAGGTTCAGCTGCAACCATGCAATTTCCTGACACACATAAAACTGAAGAGTGAAATGTCAGTTGCTAGGCCAAAAATGTTTTACTTACAATTCTGATCACTGTTCTGGGTTTTGCAGAGCTGTTATAAAGCTTGGCTTATAAAATTAAAGCCTACTTGAGTCCCATCTAAACTGGCAAGATAAACTACAGTTTATATATGCCCAGGCACTACTATATTTTAAGTCCCTGAAGAAAGCACTATTTACCTAGAAGTCAGGACCTCACTTGGGAATGTCAGCTTGTCAATCACCAGCTATATAATATTGTACTCTCCCTCAGCTTCTGTTCAAATGTCCTCTTTTTTCTTCAGGTACCAGTTATTTTGTAATTTAGGATAAAAAATAGGCTATATCCTGCTATAGGCAGGAAAAAATGCTATAATCAGTAAATACACATTTCACATTTTATTCTTGAAAAAGTCTGATTCTGAGAACATTGTTGAGTTTTCAACTAGCACAATCAAGTCTACTACCTGAAAAACAACCTGATGTCTTTTTTGCATGTCACCACCAAGTGTCACAGACATTTCTGAGACCAGAACTAGTTGTCAATTCCACTTATGATTCATGAAACAGCAAGAGGTACCACTCATTTTCCAGAATGGATCAGCCTCTGTGTTACTGCTAGCACTAAAACCTTGCTGTTAGTGAGCTAAACAAATGTGACTGGGAAGAGCCCTGAGACATGTAAGAGAAGGCATATGCAGAAACTTGATGCTATCTTGCTGAGTTGATCCTCCCTATAATCCTACTTACATTTATTCCAAGGGTACTCAGGAAGCTTAATTTTTCCCAAAGAAGAAATATTTTCTAGTGATACTTATTCTTCCAACTGTGAAATAGCTTTACTGAGAAATAAACAAGTGAGCATGTGTTTAGGGATAGCTCCTATTACAAAAGTGAATTTAAACTAATTGCTGGAGCTGGCCAAATTCATTAGAAGGATTGTATTTCCTGATGAATTTAACTGTTTATTCAGTTCCAGAATGAGCAGGAACAGATATTAGATTTAAATAATTGTGGTGGGCTTAAAATGTTTTCTTTAGGCTTTGTCCAATCAGCTGAATTCACAAAGAAAAAAAAAAAAAAACGCTTTTATAACTGTTTGTAGAAATAGCAATGCATGAGTCAAACGCTCAGCAGTGAAAAGTAAGAAATGACAATAGGGAATGATTTAAACAGCTTTTTTTACAATTTTAAGAAATGTTGGAAACTAATTTCCTCTCATTGCCTACTGTCCTTTACTAGCTCATTAACTAAAAAGAAACCAGTTTATTTACCACTGTAAATAGGGTAACAAATTTGGGGTAACAAATTTAACAATTGCTGCTGTAGGTTCAACATCAGCATCCCTTTCAGTTACCTTCTTCAATGAGTAGCTTAATAAAGATTTCCAACCTCTTTTCTTATTTCCCCCTCCAGAAATCAAAGAAGGGTGTCCCTCTGCAGCTAAAACACTGCCAGATATTCCTGCTTCTGGATCCTTTCAGAAAAATTCTCAGCTCTTTTTCTCTTTAAAACCGTGAGTACTTGAGTATAATTTGACTCCTACTGAAGCTACACTGAGAGGAGGAACAACCAGAGAACAGATTATGATTTCAGCTCTGCAATACAGGTCACCACAAAGGGTGAATTAAGGTGTTGCAGAGGATGGAAGTTCTTTTTCCAGGAGTATTTAAGAAAACTGCAAATGTAGTTTCACCTGGAATTATATCAGTATCTTATTATGATATGGTGATTTCAAAATGAAAATGAGGAACTTTTAATTTGGAAACTATTTAAATACCACATGGTAACTTTCATCTGTTTTCTTTCAAAATTAAGGAAAACTGGTAAGCTTTAAAAAAAAAAAAAAATTCAGTTGATTTTAAAGGATTCTCCAGGACAATAGGAGAGAAAAGATGTTTAAAGAATAAGGCAAGATGGGAAAGAGAAGAATTCTCAGAAAGATTCAGTGGGCTTTTTTCCCCTTCATTACTTTTGGATTTTAGTTTTTTTCTGATACGTCATCAGGCATTCATCAGTGCTAAATTTGTAATTTAAAAAGTACACAGCTGTGATCCCAAGGTTCTTCTAAATAAATGCTTTAGTGAAAGAAAAGAGAAAGTGGGCCACAAAACTAAAGCAGAATTCCTGGTTTTGTCCAATTCCACCTCTCAGCTGCAATCTTTAGCTTTCCTCTGGCAATGGATTGAAATGCTACTGACATCCACACAGAGTAAAATTTCTGTATTTCATTTGGATTAAATTTTGACTTTCAATTTTAGCACGTCACTTGAAGAAATTCATTTCTGTCAGCATAATGCAATGTAAGGAGTATTTTGATTATTCAATTTACACCAATAAAATAGTTTCTTATCAAAGCTATCTAACTGAAATAGGAGAGAAACCCAAAAGTGACAGGATGGAAGCATGGTTAGCTGCACAGATCAGGAATTTCTTTGGCATTTGATTCAGTTTTAGCAAGCTAACAACAACTCTGGAATTTACACTTGCTCCTGCCTTTTTGAATGCTTTCATCATTCTCCTGGCCATTTAAATGGAAAAGTGTGCAACAGTATTTACAAAATCAAAGGCAAGAAGAGAACCAGCCTTGCCCGAATCATAGGTCAAAATATATGGGACTGCCAAATGTGAATTGGAAATTGCTCTGATATGTTAAGAGCAATTCAGTTTGGAGTCCCTTAAAGACCTATCCTGCCCCTGAATAAGAAATGTATCCTGGATTATTTTTGCAGTCTCATGAATTCAAACTGTTAGAATGGAAAGTGGAAACAGATACGAAAGAAATCCTTGAACTATCATTTTGGAGGTAATGCAGACATGGGACTGGGTAAAATATAAGCAGCGTTCAAAGGAGTCTTACATTTTGCCTGCATCATCATAATTTCTGGTAAAGCTAAATACCTAATGCAGAACAGCAGCTTCTCAAGACAACATTATATTTTAAATTATTTTTATGTCCTGTAGGGAAAGTAATAAGCAAAACACCATTTTAATTTTTTTTACTGTCCTTTTTTTCTTCTGTGTTTACAACACCAGCACTTGAAATATAAGTATGCATTACCAGGAGGTGTATACAGACAAATGAGGAGGCAGTTTTATGAAAGACATTAATAACATAAAGAAAATGTGGAAAATATTACAGGGAAGGGCAAACTCTCAGCCTATTCATATTGACTAAACATTGACCTGGAAGGCTGCGATATTTCCATAAGTATATGGAGGCTGTACACATCATGAAGAAAGGAAATAACTAAGAGAAATTATCTTTAAAGACTGAAGAAGAGGAAAAGCATCTTGGACAAGGTAGGAAATAAAAATCATAGGGAAGCAGTGACTTTGGATAAAGCTGTATTGGACTTACACTTTACAGTTGAGACAGTCACAACACACAGTTTCACACAATTTCAGAAGGCTTCAGGCATTAGCCCATTCAGAGTAACATCACACCACCTAAGAAGGCTTCAAGAATCTGCCCTTTATTGCTCTTGAGTGCAATCTTTTATAGGCTTCATCTTACATTGCACCTGTGTGCCCTCTGTATTCTTTTGTGACTGGTCAGTGCACCTGGGCACTCCAGGTCTCATTACCTTCAATGCTGTTCACCTTCTTTTCACAGCTCCAGCCCACTGGGGATAAGGTTCAATAGCAGCTCCATTCCCAATTACCCCAAACTGTGTGGCCACAATTCCCCTTTTTGGCCTTTTAAATAAATGCTATGTTTACCATCTCTCTAATAGTACCTTGTAGAAGAAATAGCAAATGTGGTATAAGTATCTCCTGTGTAGGCTCTACTAACTCTGGAATGTATCTGTGTACTGACCTTAATTCACTCCCTAAACTTATATTACATGTAGTAGTACAACTTTATAAGGTAACACACAAGAATAACAGCTGTATAATTCCATAGTTGCTTTGAGGGGCGTTATCAAACGCAGGCTGAATGCAACGAGTAGGCACCCACTGAATTCCAGTATGGGTTGAGTGCACTTATGAAATATAAACTTTTACACTTACATCTAATCAAGGATTAATAGTTGTAATTTACAAACACAACATATGTGTTTCACTACTAAACACACTATACTGAAAAAGAGCTTCTCTCTCCCCAGTTGCCACTGTTGCTTTAATAATTTCTCTTGTTCTTTTTATAGTTTTTGTTGTGTTATTTGGTCACTGTAAGCCTCTCTTGTCCTGCTCTGTTTTCTATTCTTTTAAAGTCTCATAAAGCAATCTCTACATGGCAGCCAAATCTGCAGCTGCCTTGTCCCCTTTTGATATTACATCCTATAGTCTTTCTCTAACTTCTTTCTATGTTCTAACACTAAAAGCAGTACTTGCATCTGTCTCAAAATCTTGTGACTTTGCCCATAGTAAAACAAAACAAAGGGCATTGTTAGTAGTCTTAATACCTTTTCTTATCTTATTATCAAAGCTTTCTATGTAGATAAAACACTTATTTCCCATTATTCCTAGCAGCTTACTTGTACCCCAGGCGTCCAAACCGGTCTGGCCTAGACTAGGCAGTGTTTCCTCGCTGCTCTCAAGGCTACTCTGGGCTCCATCTCCGGCTGTACCTTGTCCTACAGCCCAATCCCAAATCACATCAGGGTCACCATTATGCTGCAGTTGAAATGGCCACAATACACAGAGTAACACCACACCACTTCAGAAGGCTTCAAGTCTGCCCTCCTTGTTCTTCAGCCCAACCTATTATACCCTCCTGTTCCTGCCTGGCACCTGTGTGCCCTCTGCTCCCTTTGGTGATGGTCAGTGCCCCTGGGCACTCCATGGCTCATTGCTGTCAGTGCTGCTCACCTGCTTCTCACAGCTGCAGCCCACTGGGGATGAGGCTGGTCACAGCTTCACTCCCAGTTACCACAAACTGTGTGCCTACAGTTACAGGGATGGTTTTGTCGTGGCAGAATATAGCCTAGTAATTTAGTGGTTTCCTTGCTCCCATTTCTATGATTTCACTTTATTAACATCAAAGGCAGTGTAATGGCAAATTCTGCAGAACATTACCCAAGTGCAATACTGCAATTTTTTCTCCTTTCTTTTACAAACAAAATCGTACATTTATTTTCTTTGCTTCCTAACCTGTAAAACTTCTTCAACAGTGCCACTTGTTCACGTTTGACACTTTTTCTTCCTTGAACATCCAACTGTTTCAGTAGTTTTGGTAAGCAAAAATTGGCTTTATTTCAGTATGATTATTATGACATGGAAAAAACCCAACCAATCAACCAACAACCCACCCAAGCCAAATAACAACTCCCTCCATTCGGGAACTGTGAATACATAAAAGTATTCAAGTATCACGACAGTATCACCACACAGGTGATAAGAGTAATATGCACCTCAGGAGGAAATCTACCAGTATTTTAGAAATCAAAGATAAGGAAATACAGGGAAAAAGTACCTTCTTGATGGTTTCCAACATTGATCGCCCTCCTTGCCAGGGTTTAGAATTCTTCCTGATGCAGGTGAGGCTGGCCATGCTGTGCCACTTCCTGTCCTCCAGCTTCTTATGAAAGGCATTTGCCAGCAGGAGGACAGTATCATATATATACAGGTTTGTAATCTGTAAAGAGATCAAAAGGGAAGCATTAGCATAACTATTTGTGGTCTCCTCCTAGCAGCCAGAATTTATGATTTGTTTTGCCTCCCCCTTAATCCTCTGGTAATTAAATACTTTATTTGGTTTTAAGAAAAATCTGTGAAAGGCCAAAGGTCACACATTTGGGCTTTGGTAAAATCTGCAGCTGGGGGCTGTATCGCTAAATGTGATAAACACTAAACAAACTACACACACATGAGAATTACAGGCAGCCCAACCACTGCCACAGCTCCACTTGTAGATTTACAGCTCTACTTATGACCATAAACAGACTTCCTTTTATTTTCAAATGCTCCTTATGAGACTCAGTTTTTCAGTAACCAGACATTTGGACATTATCAAATTATCTTCAAGGCTGTTTTGTTCTTTTGAAAAGCAGAAACTGAAAATTTAGAATAGATTTTGTTGTGTTATTTGCGCAGTCAATTCTGGTTGACACTTTCTGGCATGAAATAAGGCTCAATGAGATTCTTGTCAGTGTGCAATTGCATGTTGATTCTGTGATTTATAGTGTTTTCTGTCAGTGTTTGACATTGGCTGCTAATTCCTTGCAGAACAAACTCTTACAGAGTACATGTGTTTATGTTTCACTGTGAGCACAGCTGCGTACAGTGTGAGGAAGTTTTAGTTTGGGATCAAAAGCAGAACAGTGGAATTCAAGAAGTGCAATCACCTGTGTGCCCCTTCCACTTAATCATGTTTTAGTTGTATGTACGTGCTTTTAAATGCACACAGTGCAAAGTCAGATGTGAAAGATACAATTAAAAGTAAAATAACAGAAGCTCAGGACTCATGAAGACTTCTGAAACAAGTTATTTACAATATAGTTTTACATGAGTCTTTTCTATCCTCAGATGGCCGGAACATTTAAGTTACTGACAGTATCATAAAAAGAAACTTCAGCTGTCCTGAGCAGAGGTTCTCATGAAGAAAAATTATGTTCAGAAATGAAAAGGACTTTTGGGAGTATTATTTTTAGATAACCTATTGGTCATCTAAAGTTATGAAGGGAAACACAGTTTCCTCAGGTGCATGATGAAGGGCTCTGTAGAGCATTCCTAGCGCCTGACAACAAATTAGCTAGTGGCAATTTTAGGCAAGGTTGCTCGGATTTTTTTCTGCATCAGTCACTGACAAGCCAAAAGACATTTCCTCAGATTTGTGGAATATGTTGGCTGCTCTCTGTAAAGGTCTTTTACACAGCTACAGGTGGTGTGCTTAAAGTTTGAAAAGAAGAAAGAAGCTTATAAAAGGAAAGTATGGGAAATTAGTGGCTCTATTCTGCTTTTTAAATATGTCCAAAGACTGGGAAAGCCCTGCAGCTATCGGGAGGGGGTATATGGCAAGGAAGCATCATAATGCTGAAAATCTGAGCTAGTTAGTGATTGGCCAATTGACATATCACCTTAAAAAAGGGTGAAAAAAAAAGTTAAAATAAGCCCCAAAAAACTCTCTTCCTGCCTAATTAGTCCTTTCCACATAACATCTTTTTATGGTTTTATTTCCTTTTTTAAATCCCATCTTTATGTTGGCTTTGCTTGTGTCATCCATAGACTGCTCTGTTAGTAGCACAGATGTAAAGAACCTCTGATCCTTAGTGCCCTTTTTCTTTAAATGATACTTCACTGTGTCCTTGTAAAGAAGGTGCTTCTTTATTCTTACTTGAGCTCCTCTAAGGGCTGTGAACATTTCTATTTTGGTATTCACCCAGGAACAAAATCTACTTTCTTCAGATGCACAGGCCAGGCATCACTGTGCATGACAGGATAAAAAGCATGGATTGAGGATCTGAGCCCAGGTTAATCAAGCATTTTAAAAACAACTGGGATGATTTGCCTTCATATTGTAAAACCTACAAAGGATTCAAAGCATTTCAGCTAAAACTGTGTTTCCCCAATGAAACCAGCACTAGAGGGACATTTGTTGGAGCAGGGAAGGCACCAATTACCACTGGGCTGTGAGGCAAGCTTTTTTCTATACAAGTCTTTGCCAAAGGAAAAAAAAAAACAACCAAAAAAACCCCAAAACCAAACAAAAAAACCATACCACCTCTGGACAGCAGAGGGAATAAGGTCGCTAATGAGATTAAATTGGTACATGAAGGGCTGTGGATGCCAAGTCATCATTTCCCAGCAAAACGACATTGCTTTCAAGGTAACTTCTGTAACCTACTACCATGGGAATAGAAAAAAATTGTCACAGTTCATGAGAAAGGATGCACTCACTAATCTAAGAGTAATGTAGCTGGGCCTTCATCAAGTATTAACAGGGCTCAGGAGGACAGAGTTCAGCAGTTATTAAGCATTGTTACTCCTTCACTAATAGTTGAGCTTAACATTTACTGCAATCAATCACTGATAATGCAATGATAAAGACCCTACAATTAATTCCTGTTTCTCAAAATCAACCTTCCCTGTCACTACCAGAAGTATGCTTCGTTAATATCTGTCCTGATGAACAGAAGGGGGTTGTAATTTAAAGTCACTTTACACCTTTATTAATTTCCCACATAAATTTACTGGGGCATTTAATGCACTGCCTAGTGTCCATTACTAATCCCTTATTTTTTCTAAGTGTGTTAGGTTAAGGACTGGACGCTTGCATTACCAAGAAGAATTTAACTGCATAACTATTAATGCAATTTAAAATTCAGATGTGATTATTTTATCCATAGTGTGGAAGAAAGGTACTTAGCATCAGATTAAGGATGAATGATTAATCTGGATTATCAGTGTTTATTTTATGTAAACCTATAATATTGCACATAGATTTTAGACACATGGGTTACAGTACTAAATTCTTCTGTGAATCCAGTTTTTAATTTTCTGCATTAAAAATGATACAAATTTATAGAATTTGTTTCAATTAGGCCAGTTCCAAAGACACGGGGAGACATCTTCACCAGAATATTTTTCAGTGTTTTAATAAAGATGCTGAAAAAAATTTTATTTATTCACACAGACTTTAGGGGGAGTAACTCAGAAAAAAATAAATCAAGAAATTCATCCTTATATTTTCCAGAGAATGTTTCTGATTAGTCACACTTCGATGTCATTAAAAAAAAAAAGCTTTAGTAATTTCAATTTATAAACTGTTCCAGCTCCCCACTGGATTAGAAACTAATTTATAATATTGTTGGGTAGAACAAAGAAGAAGCAAACAAACCCCACAGCTACTCAAAGGACTGTGCATCATACAAAGGCAGAGGGGAAATTGTGTCAGACTTTTCCTTCCTTTCAGTTTATAATGTTGTCTCAGCTAAAATAATGAAGTACAGCCATCTCAGGGAAAGCATGAAAGAAGCAATTCAACTGCACAGAGCAATTAAGAGTCCAGCTTCCATCATTCCTTTGAAGCAAAATACCAGGAAAGCTTCCAGTAGGAACAATGTAGCTCTCCAAGCTATAGGTAGATCATGACACATGGGTTAAGGTATAAGACCCAATCTAAAAAATTAAATGGAATTTGCCAGTTTGTTGAGACTAAACTTTGAATTCTAGAACTTATCTTTCCTGGATTCACATAACTGCTGAAGTGAAAATAAAAGTGAAGTTGAAGAGAAAGACAAATCAAAATGTAAAGCATCCCATTGACAGGTGACTCTTGTTTTCTGCCTTGCTGTAGTCAGGCAATTTGTTCATGAGAACTGCTCTTTTCACTCTCTGACTCCTGCACGTGTTCACGCTCTCAGCTTGAGCACACTGTCCCTACGCTGCCAAAGCTCCCCCAGGATCATGCTGCCATGACAGAATGGCACGGCCTAAAGGATTTTTGCACTACTTAAACAGTCTGTAGATATATCCCATGCATCAATGGGCGTCACACAGCCCTACTTGCTTTGAGAACTCTAATAGGATCACTGTGTTTGCTGCTACAGCCAGTTTTTCATGTCATCAGTAATTGCTGGCTGGCTGTTTTGTGAACTAAAACTAGTGACACAAAGGCTCTTACAACTAGTCTGAATCAGGACAAGACCATCCACACTTTGTCCCTTAAATATTTTAATTTTAAACAGACACTCTTGAAGACCTCCCTATTTTCCTCCCATTGATTTCTGCAGAAATGTTCACAGAAAAAAAAAAAAAAAAAAAAAAGTAAAATCAACAGATTAAACCAATTTCACACTCCTGATTTGCCTAAGCTTTGTCATGATGAAACCTAATGAGAGACAGAGAGGATTTGTTCTTGGAAAAACTATGTGAACTCAGGAGGACAGGGATCCTGTTGCTGAATTCCTGTGGTAGGAACCTATTATAGTTTAATTGTAGTTTGTGATTAACAACACTGAAAATAAGACCTCCTTGGAACTTCGACATAGATTTAGATGTATACACCAGGGCACTTGAAAGAGATTATGTGGGTGCTCCCAGGAAGCCTTTGTTATTGACAATATATTTGAGGGTCAGAGAAGCACAGCAGCTCAGGAGACATTGACTACAGGGATGAAATTCTTTTGGGTGAGATGACAAAAATAAAATTTAGCAGGGCAACAAAATGACTCCCCTACTACCTGGAGACCAGGTGGCTTTTTTTGATGTTTATTGCTGTGGAGCAGGCAAGTTGTTGTTTATCAGACATATTCACTCCCTCCCCAACTCCAGGTATTTCCTTGTCATGCCATGAGCCATTAAACCACATGTCGGAGAGGACATGAGAAATAATTCTAAGTTACAGTAAGCCCCTGGGGGAAATCTTAGAAGTTATCTAGAAAGACGATTCCCAGGAGGGGATAGACTGGTATATGAGCTACCTCCATGCTTTGGGAGAAAGGGTCCTTCGGATCACACAGTGATGAAGATATTCTGTGGTTGCCACGGAAACAGCGCTGGCTTATGTTTTGGGGGACTGGAAATGTCTGTCGGATAATTGTCAACCTTCCAATTGACCTTCTCACCAGCTCCTGCACATCCACGTCATTTATTTCCTGAAAGATAAGGCAAGGGAGAGGATAGGCATGAGAGTCAAAATTCAGAAAGGTGACCACCAAATTATAAACAAAAAAAAAACCAAACTGAGTGGACCAAGGGGCCTCTGACACAAAGCTATTGTCCACCGCCTCAAAACCAATATGTGCATGCTCATTAAAATAACTGGTGGCATTAAAATACCACTCTTAACTGCAGAAGTTCAAAGTGTACTGTGCTCAAACCTCACCAAATATTTGTATTTTAATAGCTGTTTCATTTGGGGTTTTCTCTGCCTCTCCTTTTACCTTTTCTGATCTTCTATTTAAAACTGTTTCACAGCATCCTTGACAGATAACGTATAAATCAGTAGGAAGCCATAGCATGATGTATTTGTGAGTGCAGCATTGCTTAGGAGGAGTGAAGGTAGAGACAACATTTCATGCTTTAAGTGCTCATTTCCTAGATTCAGAATTTCAAGGACCTATAAACAATGTGCTAGTTAGAAATCATTTACCAAAAGGGCAAAGGAAATGCTTAAGAGCATTCTAGGTGTAAATGTGCTTGTTTATAGCAAGACCTAATTTAAAACCAAAATTTTATTCCATAGGGTACCTATTAAGGCTTACAGTTGAACACTCAGCTCTACAGACAAATACTTAAAAGAAAAAATAACTAAGTAAAACCACCAATATTAAGCTTGAAGTATTAACTTTAAGACAGGTTAGGGAAACCAGAAAAGTATTTTTTAACATAGCATAAATTCCTGCAGGTTGGGAACATGGTATTTTACCCTGTTGAATTATGAGTCCCTGAGGGAAGTTGAATAAGAGGAACATGGGCTCCCAAGCTGCAACTGACTCCAACCTTCACATAAGAACTTGAACTTTAGTTAAACGTGTTTTTTTCCTGGTGATTCAAATAGCTGGTAGCTTTCAAAATAATTATGTGCCTGTATTTTCCTGTAAAATATTAGAAATAATGTAAAGTTTGTACCATCTTTTTAAGCAGGATCTCTTTCTCATCATGCTGAACTCTCTGTCCACAATCTGTCTTAATTACGAAGGCTGATGCCCCAAATTTCCAGACATGTAAAACTGTGGATATCCCCCAGGGAGGGAGGTGGATCAAGAGGCTCCTATTGGCAGCCTGCACTTAATATTCCCTTGCACACAGCCACAGTTTATTGAATACTTTTGATTCTCATTTGTGTATTTATAGCTTTGTCATTTTTCAAAGGATACAGCACATCTGCATTGTTAATACCTGTAATGAAATGCCATCAACTTTTTTTGCCTTAGCTTCCTGATCTATAGCCATATTGAAGAATTTAGGAGACACCAGAATAGACTTGACCTAAAATTATGGACTCTTTCTTGCGGAAATGAAGCCAAGCTTTTTGAAAAAGCAGCTCTTTAAATGTTACAACAACAACCCCAGTTAGTTTGGCTTTTTTTTTTTTTTTTTTTTTTTTTTGCTGTTCCAGTAGAATATCCTTTTATTATTTTTAAGGAACTACTTTGGATGTACTGGTATTCATTTATTTCCATTAAATTTTGAAAGAAATATATGCGAGATGTAAATTATAACTTCTACTCTCTGGACTACAGTAAAAGTATTTTATTTGCCTTCACAGATTATAACAGTTTCTGAATTCATCTGTTATTAATGTTCTTTATGAAATGCATTTTTTTTTCTGCAAAGAGAAATAACATAGCATCAGCTGTGTTCAGTGTACTGTCTTGCATTTCAGGTTGATTATTTCTTAATGTACCACAGATAATGGCTTATCTCAGCTTAAGATGCTGTCTTTTCATTTAGCCTGTATAATTTCAGTAGCTGTGAGGTACAAAAAATTATATCATGCTGTTTTAGCAAAATATATATATTTTTATAATACTTTCAATATAACCATAAAGGAGAGCTCAAGAAACTTTTAATCTTGATTTTAAATTATATACTTTCTCAGAGGATTTAAAAAAAATTTGCCTGGTTTCATTACCCAGCATGCCCAAACCGTAACATCAAGAATATTGGACTCACTCTAATGTAAAAACAGACACATGCATGGCCACATTATATTGTCAAATACTACTTTAAAAGAGATTTTGACTTTCAAATCCTCAAGTATTTATCTTTCCTGCCATAAAAGTGTATTTATGTTTTCTGCATTCAGCACTTTTTGATGCATTTTAAATAGAATGTTCTCATTTTAACCTCCAGGTTACTACCTCATGTCTTTATACATCACCTGGGAAATTACAACAGAATTAAAACAGCAAAGCCATTTTTATGTGGTGGCCAAGGAGGTACATAAACCTATAGATTAGTAACAGCTATTATTTTAAATGCTGATTATACCATAAATCCAGATTTTAGATTGACAACAAAGCAGTGCCATGCAACCCCAAATTCAACATTAGTAATTTGCTATGTATTTCTTTGTCAGTTTTTAAATACTTGGCATTGACTGAGTGACAAGTCTTTTATATAATGACTCTCCAATATCATCTCTCATTCTTGAATTTTGGATCTGACTTAAGAAAACTATATAAAGCAACTATTGTATGAGAGGAAACAATTTTCATTTGCACGTCAAAGGAGGGTACAGTGTAATGGTATAAGGGAGGGAGATGAAATGTTATACAAGTGTAGAATGTCAAAAAAAATTAGAAAGCTGTCCAAGTTGAACTGAGCTGGCACCTGAATAAATTTAGGCTGGGTTATGTGAGGTTGTTTTTCTTTCATTTTTTCATTTTTTTTTCCTTTCTTTTTATTTTTTTTTCTTTTTGGTTTGTTTGTTTGTTTGTTTTATTTTTTTATTTTCTTTTTTTCTTTTTTTTACATCAAAAATTCAATTTATAGTTCCAAGCCTTTCTTTTGCTGGTCTGAACTTGGAATTAAGGGGAGACTGTCATGTCACAAGTGGAACAAGGATAAAATTAGATTTACATTTCATCTAAGCAGGCAAAGAAATAAGGAAAAAATGTGGATCTAAATTAACAACTCTTTACAGATTAATTAGGAAACAAGAATTGAAGAGGATCATCTTGATATATAAGGCAATATATAAGGCAAGGCTTCATTGGAAATCAAGACTACCTACTGGACATCTAATATTTGTCCCAGTATTTTAAGATAAGCAGCCCAGGCAGAGACTTGCTATTTACCACAGAGGAATTGTACCAGCAGTGACACATGGAGGGGAAGAATTTATTTACATGCTCCTGTATTAAGCACCAAACAAAGGCAAAAATACCTTTTCTTATGAAAACATCTTAACTTTGGGCCAAGAAGATGGTTCCATTATTTCTAATAAAGTGGACACACACTATTTTCAAGTGCATGCCAGGACTTCATGACAGAAAATCCTGACACGCAGAGAGGAGAGCGTGTCTTCCTTCTCCAAAAGTCAGCAGAGGAGAAAAGGGTGGCTTAAGGCCTCTAGGCTGCCACTGCCCACACCAGAGAACATTTGTGCCCTTCCCAAACTTCTCAGCACTTTCTGAAGAGAAGCTGAGGTAAAGGCATGGCTGGATGAACCTCCAAGACAAGGAAAAGCAGATTTTGAACTGCATCATCACTTGATGATGTATCATGTACATATGATGTACATGATGTACATATGTACATCATATGTATCTCTCTTATGTTTTTTTAGGCTTTGCAGAAAAGGATGAATAAAACCTGACAGGACAAGGAGAAACTAATTTTTAGCTTTCACAGAGAAAAAAAAATCCAAGATTTTGGAGAAAGCAGGGTTCTCTCCATCTGTGTGTTAGCTCACACTGATGCCGGGAGCTGGCAACTTGGTTTCCCTCCTGTTCCAAAGAGGGCATCATTTCACAGAGACCCACCAACCCAGTGGAAAATGCAACAGTTCAAGTGAAGCTCTAATGCTATTATCAATCATTATCCCTATGAAAATGTTGAATGTAAATGAGCTCCTGGAACTGAGCTGTGATTATAGGACCTGATCTAACTGCTCAAGCTTGAAACATGGTTATGCTCTACACTCCCACTCACAGTGGAGTGCATTGGGCTTAAAACACGGTGAACAAGATGAATACCTGGGCCACGGACAAACCCTCTTCTAGGAAAAAGGCTTCATCAAAAAGAATACAACCTCTGAATACAACCTTGTAGGTCCCCCAATCCTCTCTTGTGTTATGCTGGGCAAACCTGTTGGACCTTTTCCCATAAATTGGTCTTTAAAAAGAGTCTGGAGATTTTTTTAATTCTTTCATCAAGAAGGAGTTTTTCCAGACTCCGGTGCCTCTGGTAATTAGAAACCTTTTAAGAACTTTTGACCTCAGTTTACGCGTGCACAAATTGAATTAATTTGTTCTTGTGTCAACCTTGTCCTTTGGCTCTTGACAATGATGCATTTATTCACATTCTGTAAGTGTTTATAAACAGAGAGCACATCCTCTTTTAGTCTTTGTTTCATAGGCCAACCAAGCCAACCTTTCTACTCTCCTCTTACACAAATCAGCTTTTCTGCACACTCACTCAATTCTAATTCTAACAGATCTAGTCATAACTGGCCACATTACAGCAGATGAAATCCAAACAATCCTTTGTAAAGTAGCATTAATATTTTCACCTCCCATATTCCAACTCTAGGCAGTGGAAAGTGTTTGGGACTGTCCTTGAGTAAACAATAGCAATAAAGAACTGGTGGCAGCCTTGGGTATAGCAAGATAATAGTAAGGTAACCCTGAATTTTTTAACAAAGGAAAATGCTTGAGAGAGGTATGATTTAAAATAGAAAAAAAGAAAATTCTTGTGTTTAAAAAGAGCAAGGTAAAGTGATGAAAAACATACAAATGCCCTTCTTCGGCTCCACTAAATAAAAGATAAGTTTACTGTACAGTCGTGAATCAACAGTCATGAAAGAAATATCATTTTTTATCCTGGAACTTTGAAGCTATATTTACTATTGTGCAGAGGAAATGAAGCAAGCAAAGACAGATAGACAGAGGGAGAGAGAGTGTGAGAAATCCATTCTCACATTTTGTTAAGGCATATTTGATCATGACTGCATTCAAATCTATGACTCCTGCAAATTTTAAATAAAGAACGGTAACATCTGCTTTAAGGCCCTGAAGAAATGAGAACATTTATTTGGAGAGCATTTCCTCAGCTGACTGTGTTGATCAGAAGTGATTTGCATTATTTGCTATGGTCTAATACGATGAATAATGTTTTAGCAAATTATGAATTCTTTCATTTTATGGGAACAAACCCCCACCTCCCACACTTACATTATGATACACACTCTTCAAGAAAATTTGCTGTATTGCATAAAGTAGCAAGTAATGGGACAATAAAAATTAAGGAACTCTTTGCAGGCATTATAGCATTTAGAGTGAGCAATTAAAATAGCAGATGTTTCCTCACAAAGCCTAAGCAGATTTCTGATCACAAAACTGAGGGTGGTATTTGCTTCTGTATTGCTACAGTACATGAAGAAGATTGTATTCCCTTGGCACAGTGATGGAAAAGGAAAAACTATTCCAACTTCTTATGGTATCTCAAGGCAAGGAATTATTTGAATCAGATGCACAGTTTGCAGAACAACACATTTTCACTGTCACAGATAATTTTAGAATTTCAAATTAGGAGACCAGATAAGCATTGTTACAGTTACTTATTTGACAGTGTCATTTAGCCAATATAGGCACTCAGGCACAGATGTCTAAGCTGTGACAAAAGATCCACAGAAGCAACAAAATGGGCAGAGCTCTGAGATCATCTCCCAGTTACATGAAGGTACTGTGGCCATAAACAGGTAATGGATGACCACCTCAAACAGACTGGGACATAAAGATAGCTGGTTTATGTATCACACAGAAAGGGGCCCACAAATCTCTGCATTTCCAAATCCCGCACTGCCAAATAGAGGCATTGCAATCTCATTACTGAACTGGCAAAACATTGCAATAAGCAATTACCCAACATCAAACACTCAGGAAACATGTAGATTTGTGCTGTAATTTGAACACAGTGGCAACGAAAAATTGGTCAAAGCAGAACCCTTGCTGCAGTATCATCTACTGATCTTATTTATTGCTAATATTATTTCTGCATCCACATAATATTGACATTATTTGCATTTTTAAACAAACAGAGCTAAAGCTACCTAGCTGGGAATATGGATTTAGGCCAGAAGAAGATTAAGCTGAGATAACACTAGACATAGTCACCTTCTCTGAAAGAGAAAAGAGGAATTATTGAATGAGATGCAGAGACTTTAATGACAATGGTTTAGAGCAGTTTGTTGGAATGAACTTAATCACAGCTTTCGTCCTTTTCATATACAAGACTATCAGACTAAGAAGGGACGATGCACATTTCTCTGTGCAGATCATTCAGCTTTTCCTGCTGCTGGGACTACAGCCCAGAGAAAGAGTTTTGGAGCGGAGAAGGCAGCTGAGTGGTAACCACTTTGATTGGTCTGCCATTTAATCTGCTGCAATGTGCAAATAACAATGCTTAAAAAGCAGATTTTTTTTTTTTTTTCCCATGGAGACACTAATTTCTGGATAAAAAGCAAAACGAAAGCATATATGCTAGGAATGGATCCTCAGTCTTGTTTTGTTTTTTGGAGGGTGAAGGAGCTGAAACAGCTAAAAGCAAGCACTTTCTTTAGATCTTTTGGAAAGTATGTAACATTTAAAACAAAAAATCAATGGCAGTGTCTTTAATTTGAACAGCAGGCTAAAATATAATCTTTGTCTAAGCTGTCTGATCTACTGGTTACAGAGGACAGCTTGTTGATGCTCTTCTTAAAATACTCTGTTGACTCGGAAGTGAATTCTAGTTTAATCAGACATGAAAAAGAAAATATGTATGTTATTCACATGACCACCTGCAGATTAAAGCTGGATTCTCTCCCAGCAAAGCCCCATTCCATGCTGGAAAATACACACAGTACTAGTCAGGAGCAAGGCAAGGCCCAATTTAATGGTTATGCTGGGCCTGGCTTGTTTACACAGCATTTCCAGAGACATATTTTTCTCCAAAGTAAACTGGCTAAAAATCCACTCGTTTAGCACAGCATACTAATGAAAATCCAATAATTAAGTATGAAAACAGAAGTGAACAGTAAGTCCAGATAGCATGACATGGAATTTACATGCAGTCTATTATTCTGAGAAGATACAGGAGTTGAATGATTAGCATGTTAGGAGATAGCCATCTACTCTGATAATCCCGCTATTTTAGACCTAAATTATTTTTTCAAAAACCTGAATGGTGTCAAACCTGAAATGCAGTGTTCAATACTTCATATACCAAACTACTTCACATATTGACTTGTCATATTTTACGGACAAGTTTTCATGGGAGAACTTATTTCACAGTCTAAAAGCAGAATCTCAATCTTACTTTCTTTTTTTTTCCCTTTATGAACATTTATATATGACCTAATCCAGAAGTCTACCAAAGAGCCTCCCCCTAATATCAACAGGTTTGGATATCAACCATGATGGAACATTTGGTGAATTCATAAAGGAAAGGAAAACATGAGATTTTATTATTAATATTATTTTGATTATTAAGAAAAAAAATCATAAAAATATAAACAAAATGCAAGGACTTTACCACAAAAGATTACATATTAAAAAATGTCTTAAAAATCTTGTGAAAACAGTCAGCTCAATTGTGAACTCTCAAGATATAATAATAAATAAATAAAGGGGATTTTTTCAGTTTATTTTCCATTTATTCATGAAGGGACTTCCATTTCAAACAGGCAAGAAAAAACAGCAAAGTCCAAGAACCTGTCATTCTACTTTTATTAAGCAACATCTATTCCCTCAGTGCCCTTGAACTTTGTCACAGCTATTGCTTCCTGTTGGCAAAGTGAGAATCAGCATGAGTATTGTCAGTAAGGCTGAAAACAGGGTTCATGGTCCACAACAAAGTTAATTTGACAGTTACCTCATTTATAATGATCCAGTGACAGTCAAAAGCAACCAAATTAGTCTCCACGACCTGAAACAGAGAACAAACCAGCTATCAGTCAGCTTTCTTGTGAAAGCCAGAAAAAAAACATAAATAGATGCTCTCTATAAATGACAAAAACCAAAGCACATGCTCTCTAGAACTTTTGCTATTGTACTGAGGATAGAGAACCTTTAGCACCATTCTGCAGAAGCATTTGTGTTATTGTTTGACTTGCCAATTAAACTTGGAAGTACATTTCATTGCCAGCATCACAGGAAAGAATATGTTTCAGTTGACTGATGAGAAAAATGAAAACATTTTTGCCTTAGCACTGTGTGTTGAGAGGAAGCAACAGAGAGGAAGGCAGAAAATTAATACCAAGTGACTTTTGTAAGATTTCTCTATTTCCTGCTTCTAAGGCCTTTCTAGTGCATACCTAATCTGAAAACCTCTGAATTAAAGAAAAACAAAACAAACCCAAACCAAAAAACCCCACATGGCAAATGCTAGAGTTCACAGAAGTGCAAAGAGCAGGAAGGAGACGGTTCTCCTGAGAAAGAGGGCTGTCACGGGGATGATGAATTATAGCCTGTCTCAGGTTCCATGCACAGAAGGCCTCTCATCCTCCTCTCATACATCTCCTCCTTTCCTTTGCTGAAAATTTTTCCATGACCTGCCTTCATGCCAGACTGAACATGTGCTTCCTAAATCATCTTTCACTCACTACCTTCCCTCCTTTAATCCATTACACGTTTGTGGCAAGTCACTTTTGAACCCACTTCATAGTGCAAATGAAGAGGATAAAAACACACTTGCTCCTCTTTCATTAGGTAGGAAAGAAATCATTGACAAAAGGGAGGCCAAAAACAAACTCTGGAAAAAGCTGGACACCTGTAAATTTTTTTCCTACATTAAATCGAACTAGGATTAACATGCAAATAGTGTTAAACACAAATTAATTCCATTTTATTTGTATAGTTATCATGCTCATCTTGATTCACAACTCAAAATTACTGGGTACTTAAAACTGTATTGAATATCCTCTTAAAAAACACAAAGAAAAAAAAAGAAAAACAGAAGCAAATTTTGGAACTGACAGTGTTTAAATGTTCAGTTAGATGCCTAATGCTGGGGTCTTATTACTTGGCCCATTGGCTTTTAATGACAACCAACAGAAAAAGCACTTGTCAAGGATGGTGGCAATTTATAATGTGCCATGTTCAAAGGAGAACAATTTAACTGGCCACAAATTTAAGAGTATCGAAAAACCTCACACTGATAACCCTCATTATTAATTCAAAGGCTATTAGAACTGAGGTCACTGCTTGTTTAGCAGAATGATAAGGAAAAAATTGAAATTCTGATCTGGAGAGACTTGGGTGAGGGGAAAGCAAGAGCAGCAGTATATGACTGATTCCTTATTTGAAATTCTCACAGCAGCAATCAGAAATAAGGGAGACTGAGAGCCATAGCTGCTAATGTGGTTGTGGAAAACGTCAGTAGCATTAGCAGGAATCGGGGTCCTTAATTTATGTGGAATTCAACAGTTAAAATCAACACGATCTTTTGTTGTGTTGCTTTGACATTTTCTTGCATTCTTCACTGTAGGCGTAGTTATTCAATATATGTAGGCATAGAATTCAATAGTTAAAACCAACATGATATTTTGTTGTGTTGCTTAGGCATTTTCTTGCATTCTCCACAGCACATATAAAGGAATAGGATAGAAACTGAGTAACAGTGATAGGAGGCAGCATAACAGACTGAGCCAGGATGCCTGAACTGGAGCATGTCTGCCCTGATCAGATTGCTCATAACAAACCAGTTGGAATACAACCACACCCAGGAATCAAAAAAGGTCAAAAGAGGACAGAGTAGTAACAAAATTCTCAAAGGAGCATTTGCTCCTCATATAAACGTCCAAAGCATAGAAAGTTTATCCCATTTACAACATAAGCTGTCATTTAATTTTTCCATAAAACAGGACAAAACAAAGACTTACTAAAGCTGGGACAATTCTGCTAGTCAATCTACATACAGTTCTGCTAAAAGCAAGCAGAATTATATTAAAAAAAAAAAAAAAGAAAATAAAAAATGCAGCACAGTCAGCATGTTTTCTGATTTCTTGTCAAGTTCCTAGCAACCTTGTCCTTCCTAACTTTTGGCTCTGGGATGTCCTTCTGGGAACGTCTGCCCTGCTGTAACTGCTCTGCTCAAGATGAGGTCTTCTAAGGTTCCTGTGGCTCCAAGGCAATCTGCCAGTGGCAACCTTGAATCAAGTCTCCCAGTGGTGGTAGGAAAATTACAATAACTGTGTTTCACAAAGGGCTCCTAAGCTCTTTCCCTGCTTCCAAATGGCAGTAAACCAAAAACTCAGATTTAAGGAATCCACAAACTGAAAATTTACATTTTATGTTCACTTTTTATTAATGTGTTACAAGTGGGCCAGATAATTTCTTTGTGCCTGAGGCTTGAGTTGATCATATTTTCATGTATTGTGTCTCCCATTTTTGCTTCAGTTCATCTAGTTTATTAGTAAATATTTGCTTTGGAGTACCTACTTTGCCCAGATTTTCAGCTTTCAATTAGAGAACATCTTTTCAGTTGAATATGGTCCTAAGTGTCACTGGTTTTATTATGTAAAGCTCACAGACCACTTAAGCCAGTCACTGGAAGAGGCTGACTGGTCTCACAAGTCACTCGCATTATTTCAAGCAGCTCAGGGTACCTGTGACAGATTTATTCACAATTTGCAAATAACAAGATGAAGTGAACCCATTTTTTTAGTTACAGTTGAAACTGCTCAGCAGAAAGATCATGTTTTATCCATTAAACTGTATGCATTCATTAATTTACTTAATAATAAAAACATTTTCAAAAAGCATACCTCAAATTGGAAAGTGTAGTTTAAGAGACACTCAAACTAAAATATTCCAAATTTAGATGGGCTGCAAATAGTCCCTGATTTAAAAACTCACTTTACCTTTCAGTCTGCTAGAAGCTGCTCTTTGGCATTTTCCTTAGCCCATCTATCCAAAGCTTGTTCTGGTATTGACAGTTGCTGAAAAAGATGACTGATAATGCCCTGAGAAAGTTGCTAGATTTTTAAGATAGATTTACACCTGAATTAGGATTCAGCATTAAGTTGGGATTTCAAGGCCATATTTTCATCCCTGGATGATTCAGCCTTATCTCTCACAAAAGAGCTGTTCATTTCAGCAGCACCAAAATGCTGCATCTCAGACTCTCCCTTCTTCATGTTCCTTCTGCCAGCACGGCCTTTATTGTCAATTTAATTTACCTTAAAGTTGGCAGTGCACATTCTGACTGTGTCTGTAGGAATTGCAGGACACTATGGTATTATCATCATCATTAATAACCTCCCAATATTTTCCAATTATTGTGCTCTTATGTTTTCCAGTGTAGATAAATGCACTGGCATATCTACTGTTTTACAAGAAATAAATAAATGCAATGCTATGCACACCTTCAGTTTTGATGCTTGAGGGAAAAAGTTGCTCAATCCTAAAGTTTTCTGCAAATTCTAAGAGTAATCATATGCATAACCTTACCATCAGAAGATTATCTCCATCAGCAGCTATTAAGCACTAATCTGCAAGTAGGAGACTATAATAAATCAGTTTTAAAAACCCCCAAACTGTCTAAAGTCAGCAGTAACACAACCTAGATGCAATTATTCATCAGTACAGCAGTCATTACTTGCACACAGCAGGCCTTTACAGTCATGACACAATGTTCCAGAATGCCCTTGTCTATCTACTGCATTTGCTATACTCTTTACTTTAAAAAGTCATTGTATTTTCGTATAGAATGGATGATAACAAATAAGAATGAAGTGAAAAAAACCAAACCAAACCAAAACAGCACGGCTAGGTCTGCTTAAAATTGACCATGACCTAAAAAGCACAAACAGCAGAAGTATTAAAAGGCAGTTTTGCAGCAGGTTTCTATGCCTAATATGCCCAGAATTGTAAAACAAGTATTTTCTATCTGATTGATGATCTTTTTCTGGTTGAAATTCATATCTGCATGCATACCAAGTGAGCTGGCATGAACTTGTGCTCTGTGCCAGGGAAAAATGAATATAGAGAATAATGCTTACAAGTGCATAAGGGCAGTAATGAAAAAGAAATCTGAAATCTTGTATTTTAGAAGTAATAAAACAACTTTATTGGGGCGTGTAGGAGGTTGGGGCTTCAAGACCTCAAGCATTTGAATACAATGCAAGTTTCAGATTCATCACTTGTTCTGCTGGTTCTGTGACAGGACGCAGCGCTGTATCCTCCCAAAAGATAAGGGACAGATTGGCAATTTCCATACAAAACAGAAGGCAGGTGAACCTATTGTTTATGCAGCTCACCTCTTAAGCTAAAACCGAGAAAAACTAGAGTGTTCATTCATAATGAGGGATGAACACCAAAATTCTACACAGATATTAAATAGAGGAAAGTTGACACTTTCTAAAACAAAAAAAACATGTACCTATTTGACAAGTTCTCATTTCACACGTCCTCTAGAGGAAATCACACAAGCTGTGTGTTAATAAACATATAAAGCTATAGGTCAATGCAAAAAGCTCTCTGAAGATAAGCAGAGCTGCTAGCCAGGAGAGCATTAGGAAAAAGCATCATATATCCCTACCCTGCTCTTACTGCTCCTTTAGACACTTCGGTCTAACCCAAGACAGCTGCCTTTGAGCTTCTAAATAGAAGTTGCTTTCTTAACTGTGATGAGTGGGACTACCAGTAGCTAAAGGAAGCAGAATTTATTCTGTATTCTGTACTGCAGTTCAGATTTTATTTATTTACTAAAAGGGAAAATATTTGAAAGAATCCTCCAGCCCAAAAAGCACTTGGTGCTTTGGAGGTGCCATCTCTGCTATTCCATTGAGTACCGCCATTTGGGGGTGAACTGGGGAGCTGTGTTTAATTCCCATTGCCGCTGATCCCTTCCTGTCTCAGATAACTAAATCAGTGTCAGAGAACAAGCAGAGGACAGCCTATTAACCAACTCCTTCAGAAAACTAC